GCCTCCTCCCCCGTGGCCCCGCCCCTCCCAGGGCTGGGCGCTGCGGGGCCGCTGCTCGCTGCAGCCTGAGTCCGAGTAGCCCCGCTGCAGTCGCGCGCCCAGGCCACCAGCTGCGAGCGCCGCCCGAGCCTTGTGCCTCTCTCCTGCGTTTCTTCCCGCACGCTGCGGTGCACACGCCTAGGAGGAGCCAAACTGGGTCAGGCTCTGTGAGAAGCCAGCGGGAGCGTCCCTGGCGGCCGGCAGACAGGACTGGTTGGGCACAGGAGGGTTTGGCTGGGCACCACGGCGAGGGTTGATCATCTTCTCATTTATATTTTCTCAGTTTGTTTCCCGAACAGAAAGCTCAACTACTGGACTGTCCGGTTCAAAACCTGACACCTGGCAACCTTAAGCACAGCTTTTAACAGCAAGGCCTTGTCGCTAAGTCAGCAGTGTGATCGCTGTTTGAGTACGTCCTCCCCTTGAAAGAGGATGCAGGAGAGCGCTCTGGGAGAAAGCACCATTTGTGCTTTCACTTGCTGCAGCAAAACTTTTTCTGGGGGGAGGTTAAGCTAGTGTTTTAAACTACTACATTTTGTTGACAGCGAAAAGTCAGAACAAAAATCGCCGGAGAACGTTCATGTTCTTCCACTCAGAACAAAAATCGCCCGAGCACGTTCACCTTGTTCCCTCTGTGGACAGATCACATCCATACTGGGAGTGCCATCGTGACAGTGTGAACAAGGCACTGTGGGAATGTTTGCCACAGTGCATTGTTGTGGGAAAGCAGAGTTGATCGCATCTTGGGTTTCCCTCCCAAGTTCTCCCACCACAGCCTTCTCAACTGGAGCAACATCATAAGTAGCTCCATGAGCTCTCTGTATTGAGGAATGTCAAAGCAGCACAGCTATCTGTTTCCCTCCCCCTGCAGCTGAAGTTTGCTGTGTTTCTAGTATAGGGCAGAAGAAGAGCAGTCCAATGACTTGCTCTTTGTTTGGTCCCCAAAGGGAGCAGCTCACTCAGCTTTCAGATACATGCCAGTGGGGAGAGCAGAGATCAAAACTCTGAGGCAAGTGATTAGGACAGGTGCTGTGGGATAGTGGTGGAAACCAAACAACTGATGACAAAACAGCAGTGTCTAAGCTGGCTCTTTGTTGACAATAAATACAGTAAACTTTTGATAATCCAGCATCTTTAGGACCCAGGGGGTGCTGGATAATCAGATATGCCGGACTATCGGAAGGGGGGGGCTATGAGGGGTCTAGGGTGGTGTGGGGGGATGCCACCCCAGACTCCTCATAGCCCCCCCTTCTGACAGTCTGGCTCTGCCCCAGGCGTCCCCAATTCAGCAGCAGCTGAATCGGGATGCCTGTGGCAGAACAGCTGGGGTGCTGCCGGGTTGGTCCCGCAGCGCCGAGGGGCAGCGCTACAGGACCAACCCGGCAGCACTCCAACTGCTCTGCCCCTGGCTTCCCCGATTCAGCCGCTGGTCAGTTTCAGCAGCGGCTGAATCAGGGAAGCCGGGGGCAAAGCAGCTCCAATTGTCCGGCTGCCCGGAGCACTTCTGGGTTCCAGGTGGTGCCGGGCCATCAGGAGTGCCGGGCCAT